ATATAGCACCAGCACCCAGACCTCCAGCTCCCGAGCCCGGGTGGCACTTTATCAAAGCAGATTGGACGAAGTTTCAGGAATCTCTCTAAACTTGGCACCAAAACGACACTCCTCCTCACAACACTGAAGAGATGGAAAAAGATTTAGTAACTGCGTCTTTTAGTAAAAGGCGCCTGAAAGCTGGGTGGACAGCGCTTCGGATTCGTAGTCCTTAGGTTCCGGGTTCGATCCCCGATGGAGGCGGAGACAAATGGGCAAAATGTTCTTTTACCTTGATGCCCCCATTACCTAGCATCAAATAGGTACCTGAGAGTTAGACAGCTGCTACGGGCTGCTTCCTGGGGGAGGAGGCCTGGTCGAGGACCGGGCCGCGGGGACACACAGCCCCGAAATCATCTCAAGATAACCTCAAGATATGCAATACATAGCGCAGCCTATCACGCCATCCCCAAGAGGAAAACAATTACCCAACAACAAAGTCCCTTGGTATTACTGTGATGGGATCAAAAAACAACATTACAGACTGAATTATGCACGAAAGAATTTCAGAAGAGATAGAACCGAAGCTAATCTAGGACTTCTTAGAGCTGTCCGAGATCATGTGCACGAAGAAACTGCAAAAATCGGAGAAAAATGGCTCGAGTGGTGTGCCAAGCTAAATCAGCCTACATCCTTGGCCGACATCTGGAGGCAGATCAACAAGGCCAAAGGAAAATCGCCTCCTGCTCCGCCGCACCATGTTCATCCAGAGCAAGAAGCAGAAAGGTTAGCAAATCTATTTGCTTCAAGAGCCAGTTCCACTCAACTTCCTCAAGCAACTCTGACTCACCAACAAAGACTTCAAGCAGCAAGATGGAAAAAAACAGATGATGCTTTAGCCTTACCTGACGAACTAGACCAACCTTTCAATTTGAAAGAACTCAGAAGTTCTACAAAGAAAACTCAAAACACAGCTCCAGGCGAGGACAAAATCACTTACATGCTGGCCAAGCTAGGAGAAAAGGGTGAAGAAGCCTTCTTGAATCTCATCAACAGAGTATGGGTGACAAGAACTCGACCACTCTCTTGGAACAGTGCAATTATTGTTCCCATTCCAAAACCTAAAGACCCAGGAAATCAAAGACCCATCTCATTAACAAGCTGTCTGGCTAAAACTGCGGAAAGAATGGCTCTTAATGGAATTGGCTGGAAAGCCAGTCCATTACATCAAAATATGTTTGCTTACAGAAAAGGTGTTGGAACCACAGAATGCCTTACCTCCCTCTTGGATCAAATCAATGACAAACCTGGAATCCTTATTTTTCTGGACCTAGAAAAAGCATTCGAGTTAGCCAGTGCTCCAGCTACACTGTGCTGCCTGGTGGATAAGGAAATCAAAGGACACGCTCTTTCCTTTGCCAAAGAAAGCCTGCTTAACCGAGAAGCTAAAGTCAAATTCCAAGGAAATCCTCCTCCTCAAAGGTGCTGGAAAATGGGACTCCGCAGGGAGGTATACTAAGCCCCTTCCTCTTCAACTGTCTCATGGAGCAATACATGAAGCTCAAGTTACCAAAAGCCAAACTGCTTAACTATGCGCAAACGACTTTGTGGTCATCAATGGCAAAGGTGCCAGGAACCATGCACAAAAATGCCTAGATATTATGAGCAGGGAAGCGGAACGCATAGCAGTGAAAATAAACCAATAAAACCAAAGCTATGGCCGTTAAAATGAGAACTCAAGACGTCAGACTGGCAATACAAGGACATGAAATTGAGTGGGTTACCTCTTTTCAACACCTTGGAGTCATAATAGACAACCAGTTGAAATTCACTCAACTATCAGAAGAAAGCACAAAGACATTACGACTATATAGCACTTGGAAAGAGTCAGGATAAGGATTTGGGATAGGACGGGGGGAAAGGAATGGTGCCCCAACATTTGGAGGGTCGGGGATGGAGAGGGTGCATCTCTACCAGTACTCAAAATGTACTACTGTACATTCAAGCAGTTAGGTCACTCATCGACTATGCTGCTCCTGCTCTTACATTCCTCAGTGATAACCAGTGGGAGAAACTGGAAGTGTCTCAAAATGATGCTCTCAGAACAATGCTGGGAGCACCTATATGGACGCGTCCAGGGAATCTAAGAATGGAAACCAGCTTACCAGCCTTAGAAAACAGGATCCAACAAAGGATAGCCACCATAACAGCACAACTTGTTGGAACCACCGCCAGACTGTCAATCAAAGACAGCATACACAGATCGCTTCACAGAAACCTTCAATATAGAACAAGTGCATGGACGGATAATCTAGTGAAGATTCTAGAGAAAGTGGACTTGAAATGGACCATTAAAAACAAATGGGAAGATAGACCATATCAACACTTTCGGCAGCCTCCTCCATGGGAAGACTCGAGTCTAAAGATAATCATTGAAGGATTACCAGTTAAAAAAATCAACATATGACTCGCAGAGGTTCAAAGCTGTTACAGAACAACAAATGGGAACCATCTCAAGACCTACAACGACTCGTCTTCACAGATGAACCAGTTCCACGGGGAGACCACGGGGACTCGTGCCAGTCTCCGTGGTGTAGTGGTAAGACACTCGCCTGGCGTTCCGCGAGCGCTTTGTCATGGGTTCGTATCCTGGCCGGGGAGGATTTACTGGGCACAAATCCTTAACTATAGCCTCTGTTTAACGCAACAGTAAAATGGGTACTTGGTTGTAACAACGATTCTTCGCGGCGGGGATCGTATTCCAGGGACCTGCCCGAAACGCTACGCGTACTAGTGGCTCTACAAGAATGTAACAACTCTCTCAAAAAAAAAATCAAGAAAGAGGTTCTGCTGGGGCAGCAGTTTACACTACCAACCTTGAAGCTTACTGGAGCATGAATAGTGGGTGCTCAACATTGCAAACAGAATTATATGCCCTGAAGGAGGCCATAAACTATACAATTGAGAATAATTTACATGATGTCATCATTCATACCGACTAAATCTTTGCTCCAGGCATTATCTAGTCAACACCGAGATAATATACAACTCATTGCAGAAAATCTTACATATAGGAAAAGAAGCCCATAATCTAGGGCTGTCAATCACCCTAAATTGGATACCAAGTCACATTGGCATAGATGGTAATGAAAAGGCAGACTCACTAGCAAAAACTGCCACTGCTCTACCTGTTGTACAGGTTCAAATACCTCCAAGCTTCTCACAGATAAAGGAGCAAATCAAGAAGAAAGTATTCTCAACTATCAAAAGTCGCCACAGAGCCAAAGTAGCGGAAGGAAGATCCACTGCGATATGGTACGAACAAGCCACTGGGTACTACTCTTTCAAGCCTGGCAAAAAGATATCCAGAGACATTGCAGTAGCCATACACAGACTCAGACTTGGTTACAAGTGCTGCTGGGAGGTAATGAACCCAATAGTTAAAGAGTGTCACATCTGTGGAACAGAAGCAGAGGCGCCACTCTTGCACTACTTATTGGAATGTGAAGCTACTGAAGCCCTGCGCATCAAACTCAACATTAATCCAACAAGACCAGCTGCACTAGATGCAAATTCCACAGCAACAACAGTGATTAGAAAAGCACTTGAAGAATGGGACATATTAGTGAATACTGTGCATCTATATCCGCCACCAAGATAATGTTACGACTTAAACACGATTTAAACCAGTGCGCTAAAACAGAAGCGGGAAAGAAACCGTGGAAAAGAAGAATACCCCGCCTCCATTTAAAACTTTGACCCAAATATCACAGTAACAAGGTTATCACGAATAACCCAACTCAATTACGGGCTCAATATAGCCCGTACTACATGGACATTTCATTCTCAGTAGTTAAATCTAAAAAACAATAACAATTGTCAAGTCACTAACTAGATGCAAGCTCTGATGGTCATGTTAGAAGACTGGTTGTTGCAAGTGTCTGGCTTGCAAGTGACTGGCTTGCAAGTGTCTGGCTTGCAAGTGTCTGGCTTGCAAGTGTCTGGCTTGCAAGTGTCTGGCTTGCAAGTGTCTGGCTTGCAAGTGTCTGGCTTGCAAGTGACTGGCTTGCAAGTGACTGGCTTGCAAGTGTCTGGCTTGCAAGTGTCTGGCTTGCAAGTGACTGGCTTGCAAGTGACTGGCTTGCAAGTGTCTGGCTTGCAAGTGTCTGGCTTGCAAGTGTCTGGCTTGCAAGTGTCTGGCTTGCAAGTGACTGGCTTGCAAGTGACTGGCTTGCAAGTGTCTGGCTTGCAAGTGACTGGCTTGCAAGTGTCTGGCTTGCAAGTGACTGGCTTGCAAGTGACTGGCTTGCAAGTGTCTGGCTTGCAAGTGACTGGCTTGCAAGTGTCTGGCTTGCAAGTGACTGGCTTGCAAGTGACTGGCTTGCAAGTGACTGGCTTGCAAGTGACTGGCTTGCAAGTGACTGGCTTGCAAGTGACTGGCTTGCAAGTGACTGGCTTGCAAGTGTCTGGCTTGCAAGTGTCTGGCTTGCAAGTGTCTGGCTTGCAAGTGACTGGCTTGCAAGTGTCTGGCTTGCAAGTGTCTGGCTTGCAAGTGTCTGGCTTGCAAGTGTCTGGCTTGCAAGTGTCTGGCTTGCAAGTGTCTGGCTTGCAAGTGTCTGGCTTGCAAGTGTCTGGCTTGCAAGTGTCTGGCTTGCAAGTGTCTGGCTTGCAAGTGTCTGGCTTGCAATTGACTGGCTTGCAAGTGTCTGGCTTGCAAGTGTCTGGCTTGCAAGTGACTGGCTTGCAAGTGACTGGCTTGCAAGTGTCTGGCTTGCAAGTGACTGGCTTGCAAGTGTCTGGCTTGCAAGTGTCTGGCTTGCAAGTGACTGGCTTGCAAGTGTCTGGCTTGCAAGTGTCTGGCTTGCAAGTGTCTGGCTTGCAAGTGACTGGCTTGCAAGTGTCTGGCTTGCAAGTGTCTGGCTTGCAAGTGACTGGCTTGCAAGTGTCTGGCTTGCAAGTGACTGGCTTGCAAGAACCAGTGCACCGCCAGACTTTATGCAACAATTTAGATGTGTACATACCGAGTTGAGGAGGAATCTCCCGATCACGATGGACGAGGTCGAGGAAGAGGTTAGTGATGAGGTACAAGTGTTCCATCCCGCGAGGGTTGAAGTCATCCTTGGCGCGGTAGGTTTTGTTGACCCAGGCCTGGCTATACGCAATGCGTGGCTTGGGCTCTGGTAATTGTGACAAGACTTGCTCCGTTGATGTAACCACCTCCTCCTCCAGCAGAGGCTCCTCGGTCATTATCTTCCCCGGCAGGTTCTCAAGGACATCCTGCAGGAGGTGCGTGTCCTCGGAGGCGACGATGGCGGTAGCAGACACGGGAGACGGCTCCACCATAATATCCAACTCGGGGTCGAAGTCGGAAGTGGCGGAAGCTGCGGGCGCTGTGAGCGCCGCCAGCAGGAGCAGCAGAGGCCATGTGAGGGTGCGAGGCCAGGTGAGGGGCCTCATGGTGCCGTTGGTCATGTTAAGCCAGTGTCCGGAGGGCGGCGCTCAACACGCCCTGCACAGTCGCCCTCCACAACCCCTCACAACACACACATCACGCCTGAAAACAAGAAAACACCTTCATTACTCACCGCCTAAACTGATATTATTATTTACAATTTAACATACATTAGTTCACCGATTTACCCACAAGTTACCAAACCTTCGTGTATATCACCTCGCATTACACTACACGCGGAGGAAACTGAAACACGTTTATTAAGGTATAAATTAACACACACCAAGGGTTGAGGCAGCTCAAACTACTCGCATCCGTTCAATACAACGTCTTAATGTATATTCATACACACATGTCACAAACAATCGACCTATTACTCACCATTCTGGTTGAAACACACACATTTCTTCCTGTATTGTACACATGAAATATTATACCAAATGTACATACAAATACTTTTATAATTAAGGGCAAAAACAGACAAATAATAATAGGCTACCCACAGACATTCAGACAAATAATAGGCTACCCACAGACATTGACAAATAATAATAGTATACCCACAGACATTCAGACAAATAATATTAGGCTACCCGCAGAAAAAATCAAGGAAAGGTTACAATCTTGGGAGCAAAATTCTTCTCTCCCTCCAGAATATCATCGATAAGACCAGATACGACACATCCAGGCAATCTGTTCAGGAACAGTCCTTATCAGAATTTCTATATATATTAATCAGCGGGCAATCAAGAACATACAAGAACACACAGGGCGAAGGTGTGAGACCTTAACCTTCCATATAGCTTACACATGTTCTCGTTATCACTGGTACCCGTGCCATATTACCACAAGTATTTGTACCCAAGCTCACCTTACTTTGTGGTTACCAAGTGATGGTTACGGGGCTTAGCTTCCGTGCGGCCCGGTCCTCGACCAGGCCCCCTGTTTAATATCAGTTTTTATAGAAGCGATCTTACCCCTGTCAAAGTAGGAGACACATAGGTGTATGTGTGTAATAAATAAATAAATAAATTATATTTATATATATATAACATTTTATATTTATATATTATATATATAAAATATATATATATATATATATATATATATATATATATATATATATATATATATATATATATATAAATTATATATATATAAAATATATTTATATATATATAAAATATATTTATATATATATAAAATATATATATATATATATATATATATATATATATATATATATATATACACACACACACACACACACACACACACACACACACACACACACACACACACACACACACACAATTTGGAGGGGACCTAAACATTCCCTCCAATGCGTTATGTGTGGTTTCCTCCGAGGCTAAGGGTCCCCCTTCTTCCAGCCAGAGGTGGTACTCCCTTCCTATTTATTTATATATTTCTATTTATATATATGTGTGTGTGTGTGTGTGTGGACGTGTGTAGGTATGTACTCACCTAGTTGTACTCACCTAGTTGTGTTTGCGGGGGTTGAGCTCTGGCTCTTTGGTCCCGCCTCTCAACCGTCAATCAACTGGTGTACAGATTCCTGAGCCTATCGGGCTCTGTCATATCTACACTTGAAACTGTGTATGGAGTCAGCCTCCACCACATCACCCCCTAATGCATTCCATTTGTCAACCACTCTGACACTAAAAAAGTTCTTTCTAATATCTATGTGGCTCATTTGGGCACTCAGTTTCCACCTGTGTCCCCTTGTGCGTGTTCCCCTTGTGTTAAATAAACTGTCTATCTACCCTATCAATCCCCTTCAGAATCTTGAATGTGGTGATCATGTCCCCCCTAACTCTTCTGTCTTCCAGCGAAGTGAGGTTTAATTCCCGTAGTCTCTCCTCGTAGCTCATACCTCTCAGCTCGGGTACTAGTCTGGTGGCAAACCTTTGAACCTTTTCCAGTTTAGTCTTATTCTTGACTAGATATTGACTCCATGCTGGGGCTGCATACTCCAGGATTGGCCTGACATATGTGGTATACAAAGTTCTGAATGATTCTTTACACAAGTTTCTGAATGCCGTTCGTATGTTGGCCAGCCTGGCATATGCCGCTGATGTTATCCGCTTGATATGTGCTGCACGAGACAGGTCTGGCACAAAAAAAAAAAAAAAAAAACACTGTGTATATATATGTGTGCGTATTTGTATACAGTAAGGTCGGAGCTGGTCAGAATTGAATTTCACCTTTATAAACGCATATTAATGACGCTATGTAAAAAGACACCTCGAACACTGTTTATGTAGGACAGACGTAACTCTGTATTTAGGTTTATAGGTTAGCTTAACATTTTAAAAGCACTACAATCACCTTCTGTGGTTGACTGTTCAATAAATCACTGAATTATATGTTTAACACATCTCTAACCCTGTCCATGGAGGACAGAAGAAATGTATATATGCTGGTTAGCATTGTAAATGTCTGGCCACGTCTGTGGTAGAATAATAATAATAATAATAATAATAATAATAATAATAATAATAATAATAAATAATAAATAATAATTAATAATAATAAATAATAAATAATTGTAAGGGCCTCCTGGTTGCTGGACTGGTCAACCAGGCTGTTGGACGCGGCTGCTCGCAGCCTGACGTATTAAGCACAGCCTGGTTGATCAGGCGTCATATCGTGCAGTCACTCCCAAGACTATATACGTTTTTCCTAAATGGAATCGATGTTCAGTACATTGTTACATGGGTTGACTTCTCTCGCCAGTTGTGCTTGTGCCTGAATATTTCTTATTTTGCTTTATGAGTGTGGTGGTGAAGGGGGCCACTTTCTGGAGGGAAATTATGCACGGTATGATCACAATATTCATTACACGCAGCAATCACAATAGCGTAATGTATCAAATGAACAAATCCACAAGGGCCGTGACGAGGATTTGAACCGCCGTCCGAGAGCATCCCAGACGCGCCTTAATAGACTGAGCTACGACATGGTATAAGAATTGCAACCAAAAATTCTACTGAACTTACTTGGGTCCTGCAGCCACCCTCATGATTGTGTTGACAAGGTGTAAATGTTGTTGTTGTTAAAGATTCGCTAGCTGGAACAAAGTTCCAGTCCAGTTCCAAGTAGCACGGGCTATGGTGAGCCCGTAGTGTTGGATGTAAACACAAATATAACCCATTACAAAGCCTCAGACGCCGCCCTTGGTCCTGTCCAGATACTGAAGGATAGCCTCCACCAATAACCTCCAACACTCACAACATAAACACTCAAGACCAACAATATAAAACAAATTCGACGGAAAGCCTCGCTGAAACCAAATCAAGTTAAAATATTCCAAAGCGCGCGCCTCTGTGAAGATCAAATTTTCCTGCAACGGTTCACACACACTTTAGGCGCCGCCTGGACATCCCGGCCTGGCCGAGCTGACTGTCGTAGTCGCATATTTCCCCCCCCCCCCCCCCACACACATGCACGATTAGTCGAGGCCTATGAGAAAGTGGGAAGGTAGGCAGTTTAACGGCGGCGAGGGACCACACACTTATTATTAACATCTATTATTTCAAAATTAATTACAATTTTGCCTAATCTGAGGATTTCGATTAAGTCATATTAAAGTGAGGATAATGCTGGTATTCACTGTCACACAGGACAGAGACCTCACACTGCCGTCCCTGTGGTGTTCTGGAAGACGCAACACGAAAATAATTAAATCTTCCGTCACTCCTAAAATTGACAAATTTGATTAATGAATCTATGAACATATTTTCTACCGCACCGTTGTAGGTTTGTAGTTGTAGATCTGCCCATTGTTTTTCGATCCCGGGCGCCGGCGAGAAACAATGGGCAGTTTCTTTCACCCTGATGCTCCTGTTACCTAGCAGTAAATAGGTACCTCGGAGTTAGTCAGCTGTCACGGGCTGCTTCCTGGGGGTGGAGGCCTGGTCGAGGACCGGGCCGCGGGGATACTAAGCCCCGAAATCATCAAAATAACTTCAAGATAACCGTCAGCGTACATAGCTAGACATGTCTACCAGTTGTCTCAGGCGACACAAGGTACTCTACACAAGGATCCAACCTGCCTGTATGTTGTCCTCTTGGACGGAAGAGCAGCACAGAACGAGAGGAACATGATCCACAGGAGAGAAAAAGCACAAGCTATAGGAATTACAGCAGTAGGAACAGGAATCACAGCGTTAAGGAGAATTGGGATCAGCAGGGCGAGGAGAAAAGGGAGTCTGACACTAGGGGAAAGAAAAGAGGTAGGCAGAAGAGCATCTAATGCCGTGTCTGGGTTACTTAATAGTGTTTAAACAATCAGGTGCGTTTCGGCATGAAAGTGTAGTGCATTTGTATGTAAGTGTGTTTACAAGTGTAAACTGCATCGTAAATTTGACTATGCTAATAGGTAAGGTACCCACGCTAATTTACAATGTCCCGTCTGAGTGACCTGTCTGGCCCTCACGAGAGCACACAAAGGCCTGATAATCATACCAATATACAGAAGACCCATCAAACATTTCCACAACCACTGACGAAGTCAATACATCATTCCAATATCGTGTCTTTGTTTACATTTCTAAAACCGTTCATGAGTTCCGAAGCCCTACGAGGCTGTTTATAACAACAACAACTTGGGGTTGTGAAGTTTCTAAGTTGGTCAACTGTTGCATACATGTGAACAAAGGTGCTATGATTAAGGAGTGTTACAGGCTTCTTAAGCAGTTGCATATATGCTGGTGACTGGGGGGGGGGGCTAGTGAGAGGTTAACGGGGAGTCGAACACTCTTAGAATCCAGCACACAGATTAACGGTGTGTCAGGTGGACGATCATGATGCGTGAGGTGCCGCAGTGGAGCGGTTAAGGGGGTGGAGTGGTTGTGGAGGGGGGTGGAGTGGTTGTGGAGGGGGGGTGGAGTGGTTGTGGAGGGGGGTGGAGTGGTTGTGGAGGGGGGTGGAGTGGTTGTGGAGGGGGGTGGAGTGGTTGTGGAGGGGGGTGGAGTGGTTGTGGAGGGGGGTGGAGTGGTTGTGGAGGGGGGTGGAGTGATTGTGGAGGGGGGTGGAGTGGTCGAGGAGGGGAGTGGAGTGGTTGAGAAGCCGGCATGCAA